AGAACGTTTTATGATAAAAGGATCAATCTATGAGGAAGACGTAATGATGTATATTCAATACCAGATTAATATACTAAGGAAATGTAGAGCTCAAGGGAGAATTATACAGTAGTATAATATAGTAGGAGACTAATGCTCCACTTTAAATAATGAGCAGAACATCCAGACAGAAGATCACTAAGGAAATATAACTTGATTAATTTGTAGACCAACTGGACCAAATATACAGAGAGTTTTGTATTCAACAGCAAAAGAATACACACTCTTCTTCAGTGCACAAAGATCTTTCTCCAGGATACTTCACATTATGTCACAAGTCTTCACAAATTTAGGAATATTGAAATCATACCAATCTTTTCTAACCGCAATGGAATGAAACTAGAAATCAGTTATTAGAAGGAAAACTGGAAAACTCACAAATATATTGAAATTAACATAGTCTTGAACAACTGTCAGGTCAAAGAAGAAATCAGACAGAAAATTAGAAAATACTTTGAGACAAAACCAGAATTACAATATACTAAAACTTATGTGATACAGCAAATTACTTTAATAAACCTCTACATTAAAAAAGGAAAAAAAAATTTTAAAGATCTTAAATATAAAACCTAATGCTCCATCTGAAGGAACTAGAAATGGAAATTTAAGCCCAAATTTAGAAGAGAGGAAATAATAAGTGTGAGGGCAGAAATAAATGAAATAGAAAAATAATAGAAAAGAATCAATGAAACTAACAGTATTTTGAAAAATAACTGACAAATTCTTGGCTGGACTAGAAAAAATAAAAAAAAACCTAACTTAGTCTGTGAGCCAGCAGGATGGAAACGTGGCTTCCTCTCCACATTTATCTTTATCAGTACAGGGCTTTATAACAGACCAGAAGTTAACATGGTCAGCAATTAAAATGGAAAATTTTGCTGAGTTATTTTGGACACCCAAAAGAGCATGGTTTCCCCAAGTGAATGGTCTCATAAATCACCAGAGGATTTCTGGGGCTTTCAGTCAAAATAAGCCCCCAGAACCAGCAGCATCTGTAGCCTCTCAAGGGAATATTACAAACATCAGACATCTCAAGACATGAGTCTGACTCTTCTTTCCACATTTCTAGAGTAGATATGTGGGCTATAGAAGTAATACTGGACCTGGTGTAGAAGATGATGCCATTTTAATTACATGTTATACTGCGATGCTGTGGGGAGGCTTGCTCATTTTTTGTTATTCAAGGTGACAATTTCAAAAATGTCACTGTTTAAAATCTGTCCTTTGATATTAGTTGTACATATTTTTGGGTTAAGGTCATGAACACAGGATTGTCAGTTTATACCTTATCCTCTTTTCTGTGCTGGAGGATTATAAAATGTCTTACAGATTACAGCTGCATAAAGATCTTGCTTCAATGAAAAAAATCAAATGAAACTGAAAGGTAATTCAGTGGATAAAGGATAATGTTTTTTACAAGTGTTGTTGAATAATTTGATATTCATATGCATAAACTATGAACCTCAGTGCACACATCACAGCTTTACAAAATGGAACACTCAAAATGGATCCACTCAAAATGGAACATAGACATAAATGTAAAACTACAAAACTTCTAGAACAAAACATGGCAGAACATATGGATGATCTTTTATGACAAAGAACATGATTCATAAAATTAAAATATTGGTATATTTGACTTTGCCAAAATGAAAAACTTTCCCTCTGTAAAAAGACTGTTGGGAATGAGAAGAGAAACCATAAATGAAGAGAAAATATTCACAATTTACATATCCAGTATTCGGAATATAGTACATTAAGAATGCCCAGGGGGCAGGGATTTAGCTCAGTGGTTCCACCGCGTGCCTCGAAAGTGCAAGGTCCTGAGTTCAATCTCTGATTACAAAACAAAACAAAACAAAAAGAATGGCCAATCCACAAAGGCAACCTAATTTTTAAAAGAGACACTTCAGATAAGCATATGAAAATATGCTCAACATCATTACATCTAAGAGAAATGAAAACAGGTTTTTATTGCTGCTGTACAAAAATAATTACCATAAATGTAGCAGCTTAAAACAGTTATCTCACAGTTTTGGTGGGTCAGAAGGCTAGGTACAGCATGACTTTGCTGGTTCACTGAATTTTCACAGGGGTGCAGTCAAGGTGTTGGCAGGGTTGTGTTCCTCTCTGGAATCTCTGGGTTTAATCCAGTTGATAGAGATTTCATTTCAATTTGGCTGTAATATGGAGGTCTAGCTTTTTTGGCTAGCTGTGAGCCTGGGATCATTTTCAGCATCTAGATACCACTTGTATTCATTGGCTTGTTGTCATCCTCAAAGCCAACATTGGTAGGTTGAGTCTTTTTCATGTTTCAAAACACTCAGATTTTCCCTTATGCCACATCTCTGACTTCAGCCAAGAAAGGGCCTCTGTTTCAATGAATTATGTGATTAGATTGGGCCCCCCTGGGTTATCCAGGATACTTATCCTCTTTCCTTTTATTTCAGCACTAGGGGATCGAACTCGGGGCCTCATACTGAGCTACATCCCCAATTTCCCCTTTAAAGTTTTTTGAAAATTTTATTTTGAGACAAGGTCTTGCCAAGGCTGGGTTTAAACTTGTAATCTTCCTGCCTCAGCCTCCCAGAGTGCTGGTATTATAGATGTGTGCTGCCATGCTACTCTCCCTCTTTTAAGGCTCACAATGTTAATTACACCTGTAAAGTCTTTTTTACAGCAGTATATACATTAGCATTTGTTTTAATTACCAGAGGAATAGAATTTTGGGAACACATTTTAGAATTCTGATTACTGTACTGACAATATCACATTCTGTTGATGATGCAGAGCAACAGTAACTCTCATACCTTCCTGTAAGAATATAAAATGGCACAGCAACTTTGGAAGACAATTTGGTGGTTTCTTAAATAATGTACTATGTTACCCAGCCATCCCACTTCTGAGTATTTGCCCAAGTAAATCAAAGACATGTTCACACATAGATTGGTTAAGAAATGTTCTTAGCAGCTTTATTTAAGAAGGACAATCAAATGTCTTTCAACAGATAAATGGATAAAGTGTGGTACCTCAGTGATTAAAAGGTATGAACTACTGATTCATACAAAAACATGGATAAATTTTAAATGTATTTTGTTACATGAATGAATCCAGAACCAAAACCTACATATTGTATGATTCCACTCAAATGACAGCCTGGAAAAGGACAAAAAACTTGTCAGTGGCTGCCAAGGATTGGGTATGAGGGAAGCATGATGACAAAGGAGAAGCACCTTAGAAATTTAGGGCTAATAGAACTATTATGTATGGTACCATGGTGGTGGATACATGACATTTAACTTGTCAGAAGCTTAAAACTATACAAAACAAAGATTGAATTTTGCTGCATGCAAATTTTAAAGAATTCAACCATACTACAGGTGGATGGAATTCTCAAATGGAATAATATGACAAATTAACAAATGTATGACATAACCTTATTGAAGGTGGTGGAGAGGAAATGAACCAGCCTCAGTAATTTGTTAACTAGTTTTTTTTTCCAGTATAAGGCTTTTTTGTTTGTTTGTTTGCTTTTTGGTACCGGGGATCGAACTTGGGTCCTTGTGCATGCGAGGCAGGCGGCAGAACCACTGAGCTAAATCTCCAGCCCACTATAAGGCTTTTTACCTGCATGTCTAACCTATTTCAAAAGGTTTTAGAAATAGTCCTTATCTTATTGCTGTAGCTAGACAGTTATTGTTCCTTTATCGGGGCCATACTCTCCAAAAAATTTCTGATATACTTGTTTTTAACAGTTTTGGTTTTCTAAATGGAAGTAGCAATTTGATTTAAATACATTATTATTTCCTTCAATAATTAACTCACCTTTATGGACTCCAGATACTGAATACATAATTCCTGGCCTCAACCAAGCCTTATTGAGTATATTCTTCATTCAAGAAATTTTGGATTTCAACAAGAGACTCCACCCTTCTGAATAACTCTTGTTGGTGAAATGTACATACCTAGACCTCATCTTGTAAAAGAAGCCCAGTATCACAACCTTGAACATGTTCTGTACATGAGTACAGATACTGAAAACCATAGCCAGTTCTTTTTGTTTCTCACCCCACACTCCATTTGACAGACTGGATCCTCTTTTTTCCTAAGTAGATTTCTACATTGATGTCTGGTCGAAGTCCCTCCCCTGAATTCTTTTGGGGCCCCTCACAGTAACTGTGTGTCCCTCTATAGTGATGTCAGCATTTTCTAGAATGTTGACAATCTGATTGTTAAGAGAAGTCCTCATTCTAGCAGTAGATGCGGCCTGTGAAACAGTGTTTTAACTTGATCCTGTAAGGTTAAAAACAAAAATACAGTGGACCCTCAAGTTACAACCACCCTGACATAAAAAGAAAAGGATTTAACCCTCTTACCATCAGAACTGGTTTTTCTGGGTTTTGTTTTTTTGTTTTTTTGTTTTTTGAGACACAGTCTCACTGTGTAGTTCAGGCTGGCCTTGACCTCACTATGTAGCACAGGCTGGTCTCGAACTTGCAGCAATCCTCCTGCCTCAAGCTCCCAAGTGCTGGGATTACAGGTGTTTGTCACCTTGCCCAACTACCATCAGAACTCCTGATAACACAGTATTAACAATACTTTTCATTCTTTCCTTGAAATATAATTATTTCAAGTTTTTAAATTAAATTCCCACTTCTTTCTTAACTGTCCTGAAACACTAAAAATAAGGTAGCATTTGTCAGTTTTATAATTCTCTTAGGAATCTGCTTTCATGAAGCTATATATTCTCTGACATAGAGCTATTGATAAGTTCCTGGCATATCTCCCACATGTGTAGACCTGTACCGATCTACCTTATGCCTAAGCTCCCCATGATCGTACTAGTTAATTATCCTTATACTTACTAGTATCTCTCTGCTATAGGTCACCTTTATCTTGTAGGTGAAATTTTCTGAAACCACAAGACAAGCCTGTTATAATGACTTTTTACTGTTTCTCAGGTCTGTCTCCTCAGACTTTAGCCCTTCCTAGAAAGAAGAAGAAATGACTGAATCCCAGGTAAATACTAAATTGTGTCTTTGTTCTCTTATTCTACAGTGCAAATTAAGGGGACTGTACTAGTTCACACAGTGAATTGGAAAGGGCTATATATATAAAAAGCATATTTCAGAGGAAATAGAGTTAAAATGTGGTTATTTTACAAAATGTGTTCATTTAGAGGGATTAAAGGTGGGCTTCAAATTTGAATTTCATTTCTATAAGTAAATCAGAGCAGAAATTCATTACTTAATTTTCATTGACACTTAGGTCAGTGAAAACATTACAGTGTGATTTCTTGTAGTTGATAAACTGGCTTTTGCTGCTGTTATTGTTAATGTGTTTTGATTAAGATAAAACAAAGAATATGAGTCAAAATAGTTTCATATTAGAAAGAAGGCAAAAGAACATATTCTTTTGGACATTTTAATTTTGAAATAGGAAGGGCACATTAGCTTTTTGTATTCATATCACATTGTATTTAAGAAATTTTTCTTTTAAAAGTCTCATTTCTAATCCTTGCACTCAGGAAGCTGAGGCAAGAGGATTCGCATGAGTTCAAGGCCAGCCTGGGCTCCATAGTGAGTTCAAGGCCAGCCTGAACTACATAGAGAGACCTTGTCTAAAAAAAAGAAAAAGCCCCATTTCTGGCCAAGTGTGGTGGCACATGCCTGTAATCCCAGCACTCAGGAGGCTGAGGCAGGAGGATTGCAACAAGTTCAAAGCCAGCCTAAGCTACTTAGTGAGTTCAAGACCAATCTGAACTACATGGCAAGGCCTTGTCTCAAAATACATACATACAGGGCCGGGGATTTAGCTCAGTGGTGCTGCCGCCTGCCTCACAAGTATAAGGTCCTGAGTTCGATCTCTGGTACCAAAAGAACCACAAAAAACAAAAAACCATACATACATGCATACGTACACACTCTCATTTCTGAAAACTCGTTTTATTGTTTTCTTCCCACTATATTCTCATATTTTCAGTTTTAGTACTAGTTCTAACCATTAAGAATAAATTTTTACTAGGGGACCTTTTCTTTGTTATCTATAGAGTTCTGTCTGTGATGCTCTTTTTTTTCAGTACATGTAAGCTTTCCTAAGCAATCATATCTTACAGACATATACTGACTAACACATCCTCATTTCCAATATAGATTTCTCCTGATTTTGAACAAAATGTCCAACTGCTAAATCAGTGGCTGTCTCCAATTAGATGCCTACTATACCTCAGATGTCACTTGTATTTTTTCATTTCTTTTACATTCAAATAGGTACTCAAGAACTTCTCTTTTTATCTCATGGTAGTTATTAAAGGTATGAGTTGCTATAATAGTGAATGAATGTAAACTGACAGAATGCTGCTAATATGATGGTTGTTTGGTTTAGAAAATAATAAGCAGTTTTAAAATAACCTAATATTTCTGAACAGTATCTGAATGAGGTTTACTATGTTTTGTTAGCATGCCCTGAGATGGATGACTTTGGATTGAATAGAAGTGTGTTGTTACAGGAAACAGTGACATTCAAAGATGTGGCTATTGACTTCACTAAGGAGGAATGGAAGCAATTGGATCCTGACCAAAGGAACCTGTACCGGAATGTGATGCTAGAAAACTATAACAACTTAATTACAGTGGGTAAGAGTAATTTACTATATAATTCACTTTTAGAAATAAAGTACCTCCCCCAAAAAATGTTTCTGAAATATATGGAACTTTTAAATATTAGAATGAGTTTGGCCTTGAGGTGGCTTGGCTCATGTGATCATCCATGTTGTAGTTGTCAAAACAGAAAGTCATCCTTTTTTATGTTTCATCAGGCAGCATTCTCAGAAGCCACATTTTTTTGTCCTATAGAAAAACCTGGTTTTCCTGGGTCAACCTTGATTCCTGGGTTTTTTATTCCTGGTAAAAATGCTTAAATCTGTGTCATTTTTCTTTGTTAGGCTATCCATTCACCAAACCTGATGTGATTTTCAAACTGGAGCAAGAAGAAGACCCATGGGTGGTAGAGGAAGAAGTATTAAGGAGACACTGTCCAGGTTAGTTAGACAGAATCAGATAGGTGAGGAGAGGGCAGGACCCTATTAATGTTTAATCAGTGAATGGTTGACCCATTGCAAATGTTCTCCAAAGGCAGTTTCCTAATGCCTATAGATGTCTGAAGTAACAGTTGGTGTGAACTCTTTATAAAAATAAGATGTCATTTTTCAATACTATTCTTAACTTCTTTTCTCAGAACTTAGAGGTTTTGTTGTCTTTCATACCTGGGAGTTAGGTATCAACTTTTCCCTAATGAATTTTGAACATTATTTCACTAATCATTCTATTATTAGCTTCCTTATTCTCTCTGCCCACCCTTTTAATAGGATTCTTTCCTTTTGCACACAGACATTCATGAATTTGCAGTTCAGATAAACCTGTTGACATTACAGTTCTTTACTTTCTACCTTCCCTTCTTCCTTGTATTCTAAATGCCTTAACATCATAGTCACACTTTCCTCTGTATTTATAGGTTTGCTGTCATACTTCAATAATGACTGCTACCCTTTTACTTCAATTAAAGTTTTAAAGTCAGTGCTAATTTTCTATTAGCTTTTTCATGTATGTATGCACATGTGTATGTGTGATCTATGTGTGTATACATATGCATGAATACATATATACATTTACTTATATATATAACATATATAAATACATATGTATTTTTGATAGTCATTTCACCCTTCAAAGACACTGTAACAATTTATATTTCTACCAGCAATTTCTGCCAACATAGTCTATAGTATTTTTCAAAATCTTTACAATGTGATAAGTAAAAAATAAATGTAGTTTGAATTTACATTTCCTTTATTATGAGTGAAGGCAAGCATCTTTTCAGATCTTTAAAAATCCATATATTTTTTAGTGACTGTCTTTTGCCTTCTTTTCTGTTAAGCTCTTAATTTGTATGAACTCTTGACACAAGAGTGATTGGTCCTTGTGTTTGTTTGGGGGCTTTTTTTGGTACTGGGGATCGCACTCAAGACCTTATGCTTGTGGGGCAGGCAGTGGAACCACTGACCTAAATCCCCGGCCCTGGTCCTTGTGTTTTTCTTGTATTTTTCCAATCCTCTTTGAAGAACTTTTTGCCATGATAGCTTTTTTTTTAAGTTTATGTATTTAAAAGTAATCTTTTCCTATAAGAAATTATCATTTCATCTTGTATATATACATACATATATATATATATGTATATATATAGATGAATCACATTTATATATTTCTTTTTTGTGGGGGAGGGTACTGGGGATCGAACTCGGGTCCTTGCACTTGCACAGCAGGTGGCAAAACCACTGAGCTAAATCCCTGGCCCTACATTTATAGATTTCTTAATAATTCATCTTCATGTTTCCAATGAATGTAAATAATTGTTTCAGCTTTTTAAGGCTTTGATGTCAGTGTTACATTGGTTTCATAAGTAGAATTTGGCATCTTTCTTTCATGCTATGAAATACCTATATAGCATTTGTATTAAAACTCCCCTAAAATTTAGTAGATTTTACCAATTGAACTATTTGGACCATGTGGCTTTTTGAGGTAAACGTCTTTGACAACTCTTCATTTTTCCTTTTATATCTGTCCTATGTTTTTGCCTCTTTTGGTATTAGTTTTGATAATAAGTTGTATTTTCCCAGAAAATTATCCACCTAATCCTAGTTTTCAAATTAATTTTCACAAAGTTGACAAAGCAATATCCATCAATATTTAAATTTCCTCTATATCTTTAAGTTTAACCACATATTATTGTTCCAAAGTCATTTGTTATATTTAATAATTTTTTCATGTTTTTTTGAATTTGTTGGTACAAAATTGTTTACTGTGTTCTTTTATTTATGTCTTTTATTATTTCTGCAGTGTTTTCAGCCAGCATCAATATCAGCTTTCCTCCAATCCTTTACATTCTATTTCTGGGATTCCTATTAGATGCTAGGCTTTCTCATTATTCCTCCATACATTTTTCATTTCCTTCATCTTTGTTATTTTCTACCTCTGCCTCTCTGTGTTACTTTCTTTGTCATTAACTCAGTTACATATTTTAATTTATCAGTTCCTTCTCTAGCTGTTTAACTCATTTATCTGTTTAACTCATCTATCTGTTTAACTCATCCATTGTGTTAAAAAAAACTTAGTAGTTGTATTTTGTATAATATCCTCCTTTTTGCCTTCTTCAGGTCTTTCTGGATATTACCAATAATTTTTGTTTTTGTTTAGCTTTGTGTTTTAAAAAATACCTTAATATAGCTCCTCTGTTTTCTCTCTGTTCTAGTATTTTAACTTCTTGGGTTTTGATGATTCATTTCACAGCCTTGATGATTGCTGATTGTGAATTCAAATCGTTTTTATCCTAAGTCATGAAAATCTTGTCCTAAATTGAAGTTGCTTTTTTACAAGGATAATTTTCATGTGATTCCAAAGAATACCAAAAGGCAATACTAATTGGCTCATGGAAGCCTCAGTTAAGATTCTCATTATTATTGGTCCATAGTTTATACTTCACTTATCAGGCACTTTTGTTGTTGTTGTTGTTGTTGTTGTTGTTGTTTTGCCTGGACACTTAAGGTAGATCTGTTTTCCAGCTGGCTTACAGATTCCCTGTCACAAATCTGATTTTAGCTAACAGTTGCTGATTTTGTTCATTTTTTGTATGTAAGGTAGTTAGAGGAGAGGTGTTCTTGGAGATTTATGCCCGGCATCAGAATTTCTGATTTATCCATTATCCTGTTGTTTTGTAATAGACGGTTACCATGCCACAATTCCAGTAGTAAAAGTTCTTTTTCCCCCCCCACTTGAATAGTATTGTTCATTTCAGCCAACTGGGTTTTTTTTTCTTTTAGTTATTTCTTTGTTCTACTGGTAAATGTTTAATCCCTTTTTGTTTCTTTATTATTTCTTCCTCATGCATTTAAATTTCTATTTTCAGCCCTAGATTTATAGATACTATTTTCATTAAGTTTTTTTAGAAATTCACAGCAATATCTGTTTCAGCAAGAGCATCATCTATGTTTAATAAATTTTTTTTTTGGTACCAGGGATCAAACTCGGGTCCCTCTGCCTGCAAGGCAGGCGGCGGAACCACTGAGCTAAATCCCGGGCCTTAAATTTTTTAGCTTGTATTTTTATCTTTATATCATTCTTTATCCTCTTGTAATGGTGTTTTTATAGATCTGATTCTGGAGCCTTCTCATACCTGACTGAATAATTTTTCTTTGATCTAATATTTTAAAGAGGATAATGTTGGGGAAGAGAAAGGAGTGCTCTAATTTAGAGTGGAGGTGAAGGTCAGCAAACTATGCCTGTAGGACAGCCACTTGTTTTTGTAAATAAACTTTTATTGAAATGTAGCCACACCCAATCATTTATATTTCCTCTATAACTGCCTTCACATTAGGATTCCAAAGTTGAGTTCAATAGTGGTGGCAGACTCTCTGGCCCACAAAATCTGAAATGTTTACTAAGACTGTAAGAAAACATTTGCCTACCTTGATCTGTAGAAATGCATTTCTACTTCATTTTGAAGCCTTTTATTCTTCATGTTTGTATAAATAAGCATGTTTAGGCTTTGTTTCTCCTCATTCTAAAAGTAACTACAGTTGCAAGTCTGAATATTACACCCTCTGTAAGATTCCATAACTCTGAATCTTATGCCCTCACCTCAACAGACTTTATCCTGAAAAGACAGTGTGTTGGAATATTTCCATGTTCAGTCCTGGCTTCCCTGACATATCTTGGGATATCTGCTATAACCAATCTACACTCTCAAATTTCAATGTAAGCATTAATTCTGACCTTTAGATGTGATACCTTTTTGACATTGACAGTGATTAGCTCTGCCCAAGATTAGCATGAACAGTTGGCTTCTCTTGGAATTCTTCTACCCCTAGTGCAGACAACATTGTATTTTTCAGTGCCGACTCATTTATTATAATTGGAGTTTACAACTACTTCCTTGGTTTATATTCCTTGTTTATAGAGAGGAAAAGAAACTAGAGACTTTATTTATTCCACCATCTTGAAACATAGTGTCTTTTCTGTCACATTTGATATTTTAGTCTTGCCCTTGGAAATCTTTTTCACTTCTTAGATAATGCCATGATGACCTAATCTTATCTTCTTTTCAACATCTTTTCCCTAACTATGCTTCTCTTTTTCCTGGTAACCAATATGACCTAAGAGCTCAGCATCTGTCTTCTTTTTTACGTTTATAACCTGCAACTAAATTTATAGGACAACTTCACAGGAATTTTTTTCCTCACTTCCTTCTCAGTCTGACTAAGCCAGTGAAAATAATCTCCATTTCCCTGTTGGAGGTAAGCAGCAACAGGGACCTGAATGTGTATAAAGACTTTCACTTTTCCTTTGTTCAAGCCTGTTTCTTTACACTGTATTCTTTTGCCTGGTCCATGACCCTGGAACCTCTCTGTTCCATTTCTCTGGACCAAAGAGTAGTCTTCCATCTTCTGTAGAGTAAACCAGTCATGGGCAGCTCATTGCACAATGCAAGCATTTGTTTGCAGTGTAAGACTTCTAATTAGTCCTCTAGTTCTTACCCCTCCATGCATTCCCCTTTCATGTTAATCCCAGAGCCTTTCTCTAGTTATGTAGTAGGAATTTGATTTTGCTTTTTGACATCTTCCTCTGCAGGCATGTGGGTTTCCACTTTCTAAATTCTTCTTTCAAGTAATAGTCCATTTTTTCGGGGCCAGGGATTTAGCTCAGTGGTTTCGCCACCTGCTGTGCAGGTGCAAGGACCCAAGTTCAATCCCCGTTACCAAAAAAGAAAAAAAAAAATAGTCCATTTTTTCTATCTGCTAAAAGTTATCTTTATATCTTTGTCTTTTCTTTTAAGTTTGTTTATACCTTTTCATTTGTATCATATTACTGTGGTCTGGGGTAGATTCAAGGATAAATTCACATATTTATTACACTACATGTAACTTAAGTTTTTCAGTTTTCTTTCCTCTGTGTATTCCATTTGGTCCCTGTTCTTTCAACTGAAGTGGCTTCTTTGATTTTATGTTCTAATCTTTACATACAGTTTTTACCTTCCCTTTGTTTATTCTCATTTTATAGATTACTGCAATATTCATAAATATTACCTACTTTTTAAAATGTACAAAAATTTTAAAGTACAAAAAAGGTTATATGTTGAAAAGTAATTCTTTTTTTTTAACCTATTTCCCCTTTATGGTGCCCCTCCTACTGTCATTTCCTTTTAGCTGTTATTTATATTTTCAAAATTTTATATTGATACCACTTTAAATTGGTAGATTAACTTGTGACTAATGTCATCTTTATGCTAGTGAATGTTCTCTTTCAAAAATGCATTGTGGGACCAGGGATTGAGCTCAGCAGCACAGTGCCTTCCTGGCAAGCAGGAGGTCCTGAGATGGATCCCTGGTAACAACCACCACAAAAAAGAATGCATTGTGCCTTTTGTTTTAATTTCTTAGGGATGCCAAAACTACCTACTACAAACTTGGTAAATTAAAATAACAGAAATTTACTGTTCCAGTTCTGGAGGCTAAAAGTCCAAAATCAAGATTTTAATATAGCTATGTTCTCTCTGAAACCTGTAGGAGAAAGAGCCTTCCTTGCCTCTTTTAGCTTTTGATAGTCACAAATATTCCTTGGTTTATGGCAGCATAACTCCAGTCTGTGTCCCATCTTCACAGAGCATTATCTTCATTGCTTTATGTAACATTTTTTTATACGCACACCAGTCATGCCCAATGCAGTGGTATACCCTGTAATCGCAACTACATGGGGGGCTGAGGCAGGAGACCAAAAGTTGGAGACCAGCCTGGGTAACTTAGCAAGATCCTATTTCAAAATAAAAAATAAAAAGGTCTGGGGATGTAGCTCAAAGGTAGAACATCACTGGGTTCAATCTTAAGTACTATAAGGAGAAAAAATAGTCATACTAGATTAGGGGCTTAGCTGTTCTAGTATAATCTACTCTTAATTATATCTGCAATGACCCTATTACAAATTAAGGCCATATTTTGAGGTACTGCAAGGTAGGACTTCACTGTATCTTTTTATGGGGTACACAATTCAGTTAATAAACACTTTTCCATATGTTCAGGTCTGTATGTTCACTTTAGAGTTTTTGGGCATTTACTGTTAACTTTTTTCCCAGTTTTTATTTTCATGTTTTTGTTGCTTTTTATTAAAGGAGTTTCTTCTATTTCCTAAATAGTTGTTGATATAGTAAAGGTTATTGAAACCAAGTACTAATTTGTATATAGTAAATTTAGTGAATTTCTTTTCAGATTACTTTATTTTTCAGGCAAACAAGTTTATTATTGACAAATAGTATTAATTTTTTCTTTCCAACTTTTTATATTTGTTTTACTTCTCATTTAATTGCATTAATAATGTGATAATAGTGGTGGTACTACTCATCTTTTCTTATTCTTCACTTTAATTGCTTTTGGATTTTCCCCATTTCTTGTAGTGTTAGTATTTGGAATGCACTGTATCTATGTAATCCCGTTTTATAAAGTTTTTTTAATGGAAAATAGATGTTGAGTTTTAGCATCTTTTAATATCTATAGCTAACTTGATTTTTCATTATTGACCTAGTAATATATTTCCTTATAATAGAACTTCTGGGATTGAAACATAGTTATATTCCTGGGAAAAATCCACTCAGGTATATATTTTATAATAATCTGCCTCTGAGTTACTTTTTTTTCTTCTGGATCATTTTGATATTTTACATAGAATTTTTGTTAGTTTTTGTAAATGAAACTGATGTATAGATTTCTTTCTTTCTTTCTTTCTTTCTTTCTTTCTTTCTTTCTTTCTTTCTTTCTTTCTTTTTGTGGTACTGGGGATTGAACTCAGGAAGCTGAGCTAAATCCCTGGCCCATTGAGCTAAATCCCCGGCCCGTTGCATAGATTACTTTTTTTGTGTCTCATCTTTGTCAGATTTTGGTATTAATACTGTTTGACCAATAAAAATCAGGAAATCTCTTTTTTTCTTTTGTAACGTTTTGCACAGCATAGAAGTTGCCTCTAAATGTTTTATAATTCTTATACAAATGAGTAAATTTTCTTTTTGTTTTATTTTTAGGAAGTTTTCTACATCTTCTAGAGTTAGTTTTGGTAATGAACATTTTCTAGTACAGAATTCACATCTATTTATAAAAATATATTTCAGTAGAGTCCTAAAAAATGGTCTTATGGTTTTTAGCTTCCTGTTTTTATCTCTTTTCTATCATTTCTTCTTTATTTATACATTTTGCATGTCTCTCTTATTACCTAACAGGTTTTCTTTCAAATTCCACTGAAAGACAATCAAAGCTATTTGTATTCATAAATACTTGCTTCTATTCATATTTCCATTCCTGGTATTTCTTTCTCAAAACTGAGGACATAGGCAATCTATGCACTTGAAATTTGTTTAATAAGTCTTTAATATTATATTTTATTAAATTATATTTTATTAAATTATATAATTTTATATAAATTATATTTTATTAATATTATATTGATATTAAAGTATCAATCCCAGCAAATTTTCAATTTTTTTGATATTACAGTATTGGAAAAATTCACCAGTGATATTTATTTGCAATCAATTATAGGAGAAATATGGGGAATTGATGAACATCAGAAAACCCAGGACAGATTTTTGAAACAATTTTTCAAGAAAACACTGACTGAAGAAGAAGTCAATGAATGTCACAAGAAATTCACAAATGCATTTCCTCTGAATTCAGATTTTATTCCTTCCAGATATAATCTCTATGAATATGATTTGTTTCAAAACTATTTAGAACATAATTTTGACTGTCATAATAATGTGAAATGCCTTATAAGAAAGGAACATTTTGAATATAATGGAGCTGTGAGCTCATATGGCAATAGCTCATCCCCTCTTGTAGTAACCCCTTTTAAGTGTAATCATTGTGGAAGAGGTTTTAGTCAAACACTAGACCTTATCAGACACCTAAGAATTCATTCTGGGGAGAAACTTTATGAATGTAACAAATGTCAAAAAGCCTTCAGCCACAAGGAAAAACTCATTAAACATCATAAAATTCACAGTAGGGAACAGTCTTATGAATGTAATGAATGTGGGAAGACTTTTATTAAAATGTCAAATCTTATTAGACATCAAAGAATTCATACCGGAGAGAAACCCTATGCATGTAACGAATGTGGGAAATCCTTCAGCCAGAAATCAAATCTCATTGATCATGAAAAAATCCATACTGGAGAGAAACCTTATGAATGTAATGAGTGTGGAAAAGCCTTCAGCCAGAAGCAAAGCCTCATTGCACATCAGAAAGTTCACACTGGAGAGAAACCTTATGCTTGTAATGAATGTGGTAAAGCCTTTCCTCGAATTGCATCCCTTGCTCTTCATATGAGAAGTCACACAGGGGAAAAACCTTACAAATGTGATAAATGTGGAAAAGCCTTCTCTCAGTTTTCCATGCTTATTATACATGTGAGAATACATACAGGTGAGAAACCTTATGAATGCAGTGAGTGCGGAAAATCTTTCTCTCAAAGCTCAGCCCTTACTGTACATATGAGAAGTCACACTGGTGAGAAACCCTATGAATGTGAAGAATGTAGGAAAGCCTTCAGCCACAAGAAAAACTTCATTACACACCAGAAAATTCATACTAAAGAGAAACCTTATGAATGCAACGAATGTGGGAAAGCTTTTATTCAGATGTCAAATCTTGTTAGACACCAGAGAATTCATACTGGAGAAAAACCTTATATATGTAAGGAATGTGGCAAAGCTTTTAGCCAGAAATCAAATCTCATTGCTCATGAAAAAATTCATTCTGGAGAGAAACCCTATGAATGTAATGAATGTGGTAAAGCCTTCAGCCAAAAACAGAATTTTATCACTCATCAGAAAGTTCATACTGGGGAGAAACCTTATGACTGTAATAAATGTGGTAAAGCCTTCTCTCAAATTGCATCCCTTACTCTTCATTTGAGAAGTCACACAGGAGAAAAGCCTTATGAATGTGATAAGTGTGGGAAAGCCTTCTCTCAGTGCTCACTGCTTAATTTACATATGAGAAGTCATACCGGTGAGAAGCCCTATGTATGTAATGAATGTGGAAAAGCCTTCTCTCAGAGAACTTCCCTTATAGTGCATATGAGAGGTCATACAGGTGAGAAACCCTATGAATGTAATAAATGTGGAAAAGCCTTCTCCCAGAGTTCCTCCCTCACTATACATATACGAGGTCATACAGGTGAGAAACCCTTTGACTGTACTAAATGTGGAAAAGCCTTTTCTCAGATTTCATCTCTTACTCTTCATATGAGGAAACATACAGGTGAAAAGCCCTATAACTGTATTGAGTGTGGCAAAGCTTTCAGCCAAAAGTCACACCTTGTTAGACACCAGAGAATCCATACTCATCAGAAACAGTGTTTGTAGTGTGAGTATGGAAAAGCCCTCAGAAGGAATTAGCACCTCATGGCACATTACATGATTGGTTCTAGACCAGAAACCAGCGAATGTGGGAAAGCCTTGTGAAGACGTTCACAGATTTATAAAACATTAGAGAATTATTACCAGGTGAACAGTTTTATGAAAATGCTATGAAAAATCTTCAGCAGACACCTTACTCATTGGTGGTATTTAATTAATATTCTCAATTCTGAAAGAAGATACCTACTATTTGCATATCAACATACTACTCAAGCTCCCATCTAATACATTAAACAAGAAAAAAGAAGATTGGGAAAAGAATGATAAAATAGCCTTTTATGTAAGAAATAGCTAATTACACATGTGCTGAAAGAAAATATGTAAGAATACAACAATGAATTATGAGACATTTATATCTATAAAGACATAGATATGTTGAAGGGCCCAAAAGAACACTTGTAAAATTGAGAGAAATGTAATTATTTCTGAAAAGACTTGACATTGTAAAAACATGTTCTCTCCAAAATCTCTAATGTACTTCCACTCAAAATTTATACCAGTTAGTTATACTTGAGTTTCACAAACTGCTTTAAAATATATGAGAAGTTAAAGGGCCTCAAATAGCTGAAACAAATTTGACAAAGCAAAACAACTAGGGAAGATACACTGTTATCATTACATACTTCATTTAGAGCTGTTGTCATTTAAACTCTGTCATTCAGTGACTATAATCAGTGGAAACAAATTGAAGATTGATAGAACAATCCAAGATACGGGAATTTTGTGTATGATAATGCTATTGAAATCACTGGGGTAAAAATGGGCTACTAAGTGGAAGATTTATATGAGCAAAAAACTTTGCTCTCTACCTTATACTGTATACAAAAATAAAACCCAAATAGTTTGAAGACCAGAATATAAAATTAAAATTCCAAAACTCTGATGAAAATAAATTATATTACTTCAGAGTAACAGGATTTCTTTAAAAACAAGAGACAATCAGTTCTGTTTTGGTGTATTGGCCTCAAAAGTACCTACATGTATGCACAAACATATGCCTATCACTATGTTCACTGTATTATGGCTTTTATTGGACTAAATTGGAATATAACATAACTTTTTAGTAATAGAGGGATAGATCAATACCATATGTTTATATCTACAATAGAAAACTATACAGTATTTAGAAAGAAAATACAAAATTCACATATAGTTACATGGATTGATATATTGAGAGAAAAAAAGCAAAATTCACAATGAAACATTTAATAGAACAGTGAACAACAGCACTTATATATCATATTGGTTGCCTTTGAAGATATGGAAAGGTTTGGTGTGAACTGTTACATTGGTCTGTAATATTTCATAATAAAAGAATGAAATCAAATGCCACAGTGTTAACAAATCTGTCCAAATTAGTTTTGTGAGGTTGTAAAAATACTTTGTCTTTATTTTCCCAATATTTCTAGAATAGGAGTCAAATGAGTGGGGCAAACATAGGCCTATAGAACCAATTTTAAAATGGATTTTTGATCAGCAAACTAACATTAATAGAAAATTCTCTTGACACAAAACAAGACTCTTGCCAGGTATGGTGGCACCCGCCTGTAATTCCAGCACTCAGGAGGCTGAGGCAGGAGGACTGCTGTGAGTTTGAGGCCAGCCTAAACTACATAGCGAGACCCCATTTAAAAAACTAAAACAAAAAAAAGGACTCTTTTTCAAATTCTTCAGAATATTAATTGAGACGATAAAAATCAATAGGGGATAACACTTGAGACTAACTTAAAAAAATTTTAAATAATTTTGTCTTAAAACAAGTTTCTCCCCTAGTTGAAAACTGAATAGGTAAAAGAATTATGTAATGGGGGGGGCTACCGGGAATCTAACTCAGGTCCTTGTGCTTGCACAGCAGGCGGCGAAACCACTGAGCTAAATCCCCAGCCCAGAATTATTTAATTTTGAGGATAATTGTCTCTGTATTTGGAAAAAATGTACCTACATTTGTGTTTGTTTCAGTGTGAAGGAAAGAGATCATTAACACATACTATAAAATGTGGTTAATATTTTGATATGGATAGTCACTAGCATCAGACCAGAAGCATTTTCAACATAGCTTTCTTTGGTTTGTAGATTGTTAAATAGATTCCAGATAGCCAGATAAGAGTCCAGTGGACATGAAAAGCTCACTCTTCCTTTTGAGGAAGTATTGCTTCTGTACTTGTTGGAAAATTGAGTGTTCAATTTGTTTTGTAATTCAGACACTTTCACTATAAGACTGAGCTGGGTTTTCATGTATCTCAGCTCTACATTGGTAAAGTTTCAGGATAGACATGGAAATTTTCATGTAATACTGTATTTGGGCTAGGAATTTGAAGCCCTAAAGTTATACTTTTCTTTTCTCACATTTGTCTACCACAGTTATGAACAACCAGTCAGTTTCATCATACTCATTAGTATGACCAAAATGTTCTGAGGTTTTGATTGACATGGTCTGAGAACCTTGTCTTTTTGCGGGGCGGGGAACCGGGGATCGAGCTCGGGACCTTGCGCTTGCAAGGCAGGCGCCGGAACCACTGAGCTAAATCCCTGGCCCCGAAACCTTGTCTTTTTAAAAAGGTATTTGATTAGGAATATCAAATGATAGTATTTTATATATCTCTTGCCACATCAGTCAGTGTTTTATCACTTAATATAGAGTCACTAGTGCCTTTAAATCATATCAGATTAAAAAACCAATACTAGAAACCCCAAAAACAATTAAGAATGTTCATTTTCCAGATTGTATTGTCCTAAAAACATTCTTGGTTCCAAAATCTTTGTCAAGGTTCTCCACTAGATTTATATGTAATTATATAAAATATTAAATCAGAAATATATTACATTAAAATTATGTTACATATGCATTAAAATATATTCAACATTTTGGCATGTACCTGTTTGATAATTTATATATTTAACATAATTGAAATTTATAAAGATAAATATTGTAAGGAATTGGCTCATGAATTACAGGGACTGGCAAGTCTGAAATCAGCAGAGCAGACCATCTGATTGGAAAATCAGGCAGGAGTTAATGCTGCAGTCTTGAAACAGACTTTCTTCTTTGCAATTTTTGCCCTTATAACTTTCAGATGATTGGATGAGGCTCATCCACATTGAAGGTAATCTTGGCCGCCGAGGTGGTGCAGCTGGGGAAGCATTAGACTGAAGGTAATCTTAAAGTCAGCTTATCATAGATGTATATTACCTTTCCCATTGCTGAGACATAATACTTGACACCCACAACTTAAAGGAGGAGGGAGTTAATTTGGCTCACAGTTTCTGGGGATTCATTCCATGGTTGGTTGGCTCCAGGGCAGAAACACCATGGGGGAAGAGCATGGCAGAACAGAGCAGTTTAGTTTATGATGGCCAGGAGGCAGAACAAAGGAATAGCACCAGAGAGGAAGGAGTGAGGGACCAGACATAAACCCCAATGCCATGCCCCCATGACACAAAGACATGCTCAGAAGTGTACTCCACCAATTCCCTGGCCAGACTTAAAGTCAGCCAAGTTGACACTACCCTAACCATCACAAGACGTACACAACATTTTCAAAATACTGTGAAGACTGTAATAACTTAGTATTTTTAAATATCTGGGTACTATAATCTAGCCAAATGAATACATAAAATAATCATCACAGTGTTTGATGGTTTTCCTTATTTTGTGACTATGTGACTTGCTGAGACTGCCTAAACATGGTCAAATTTGTCATTCTGTAATCTGGATCTGCTGTGTTATGAAGCTATGGTATGTGTGTTTCAATCTAGAGATCTGCATGTATTAAATTCAGTAGGAAACCCTCAAATAATATCAATCACAGTTCCACTAAATTTACAAAAAGTCTATATCACCACACTCATTCACCATGATATACTCTTTATGTGCCTAAACCCAGGCATGGAAGCGAGGTACTGTGAAATAACCATTATAAACTAGAAATTAAGTCATTGGTATGGATGTGTATAGTGACTGATAGACAAAATATTCCTGAGTTATCAGAGTGACCAGAATGAGCAATGAGATTAATTTAACAAAATTCAAAAGCTGAAAGAGATGGTTCTGACACATACCTAAACAGGTAGGAGCTGAGGACATTACTAATTTTTTTTTTTTGTACCTGGGATTGAACTCGGGACCTTGTGCTTACAAGGCAGGCAGTGGAACCACTGAGCTAAATCCCCACCTTATTACTGAATTTTTAATATGAAATTATGGTAAAATGGTAAAAAAAATTCCTTTATAAAAACAGTAAGTATCTGTTAGAAAAGTATTGTAGTCATTGGCTGTATTTATGTTGCATTTTCAATGGACTATTATGCAAAAATGTTAGCTCTGCTGAATAGTCCTAAAGTTAAATTTCATGACTAAATGTCTAAAATTCATGTGAAATAAACAACAAATACACTACTCTGGGATGGATATTGATAATGGGGGACACTGCTGCAAGTGCAGGTTAGGGACATAAGCCAAATTTCTGTACTTTTTGTTCAGTTTTTCCGTGAATCTAAAACTGCTCTTAAAATTGTCTTTTAAAAGCATTACACTAAAGCCTTGTGAGGACAAGAAAGGCATGGAAAAAAATTCTTTTTGTTGTTAATGTATATGTTAACTAGCAATATTAGTTTAGCTGAGGACACTCAGACTGGAAAGTCCCCAAATTTCTAGTTCTAGCTATAAACCAAGAGAACTTTTTCATATATAAACATTGTCATAGCAACATTATAATACCTATAACAGAAGGATGAAAATAATATATTGCATAATCACTCAATATTATAAAGCAATGGAATACATGCACTAAAAAACAGAAAAGTATTTATTATATGATAATATTTAAACATTTAAAAAGCAAGTATTAAGGGCTGGGGATTTAGCTCAGTGGTTCTGGCGCCTACCTCACAAGCTGAGGACCTGAGTTCGATCCCCAGTACCAAAAAAAAAAAAAAAAGACTATGGATTTTAGGATATTATAAATCATTAAGACTGTTATTTCCTGTCCAAATAATAAAAATACCTAAAATATGACCCTGTTGTCTATAAGAAGCATTCTAATGTCAGAATTTGAAAATACACACCTTAGCATGGATGCAGTCCAGTAAATTTTTAGGGCCATATACCCTGAAATTTGAAGGGAATATATAGAAATTGTATTTCTCAAATCTACTATAGTGGTTACCTCCACAGGAAGAAAGGATAGAATAGCAGAGGAATGATATGAGGAAGAGGTTAAAGAAAGTAAAGTGTTGGGCCGGGGATTTAGCTCAGTGGTTCCGGCACCTGCCTCACAAGCGCAAGGTCCCAAGTTTGATCCCCAGTACCAAAAAAAAAAAAAGAAAGTAAAGTGTGGCTTTTAAAAAAGAAAACATTTATATGTATTTTATATATAGATTATCTCTGAAAAAGTATAGCAGATATATGATCCAGCACAAGCAGTACCACATCCTTGATTGGGAGAAAAACATTCACCTTTAATTCAGAAGTGCTGTGGAGCACTTTGTCACAATACAACAGTGTGGCTAGTCAAAATAGTCTCCCATGGGCTGGGGATTTAGCTCAGTGTTGCTGCACCTGCCTCGCAAGTCCAAGATCCAGAGTTTGATCCCCAGTACAAAAAAAAGTCTTCCAGGTGTGGAGGCTGATCACAGACTATCTATCACAGGCTGAATACCAAAGTTCCACTCATAGCCCCTGCAGTGTCAGATACTGTCACCATTACCAAAAAGGTGGTGGCTCATAGTATCCTGCTGTATACTTAGCCAGTGCATTTTTCTCAATTCCCCTGAAGGAGAAAGATGCATTCATATAGTTGGCTTACAATACACTTTTACTGTCCTCCCCAGGGGTCCTTTAACTCCCTGCCATTTGTCATCAAAAGGTGGGACTTGATTAAAGCAAGCCCAAATCTTACCACAGGTTTTGATCATACATTATAAAGAAGACATGTAGGCATTGTGCTCGATTATCACTACTAACTCTTGTTGGGTCATAAATCCAGGTAAGATTCAAGGACCAATAAACAAGTACAATTTCTCTGGACAACCTAGACAGGAAATTAACAGAATATTCCAGAGAAGTTTAAATTCCTGGATATACTCACTAATAAAATGGAAGCACAATAGCTAGTGGACCTCTTCTGATATTGGAGTTAAGTGTGTGTCTCGTCTGGGTATTTTTTTTTTTCTGGAACAGGGGATCAAACTCAGGATCTTGTGCTTACCAGGCAGGCACAGGCACTGGTGCCACCGAGCTAAATCTCCAGCCCCTCATCTGGGTATTCTATGGTGATATTTCAAGATGACATGAAAGGCAGCCATCTTTGAATGGAGCCCTTATCAATA